GAGGTAGGGGTAGAGGAGCACTCAGGGAGTCCCTGCCTGTTCTATCCATGACTGTTGCAGCAGTGGTCAGCAAGTGATGTGTCCAGGCCATGTCTGGTCATAGCTGCCACTCAGGTGCTGCTGGGTTGTAAAAGCTTTGTTAACCGGCATCTTGGCTAAACCAACAAGTCTTATTCCCCATGTTGACAAGAGCATTTACTGTGTTTGTTGCTATTGAGATGACAAATTAACATAGGTACATTTTAAATTTCATTTACTACAATCAAAATAACTATGCTAAATCAGATCATACTTTGTTTAGGGCACAAAAAAAGAATTCTGGTTTGTCTGTCTCTTTCTCTCCCCCCCCCCCCCAATGTATGTGTATATATTGGAAATCTGCATCACTAAGAACCAGGCAGACCTAATCTGTTTAAGAAAGAGAGTTGTCATCTTGTAAAAATAGGTTTTAGTGTTTGGGAGGCAATCCAAGAGCACTGTTCTCTCCCCCCCCACCCCCGTGACAACACACAGTATACCTTTATTTAAATGAGCAATGTGTACACCAACAGAGTGGGTGTAGTTTTCAAAGCTGGCAATCTTTCAGCCTTTGTCAGTCAAACTCTAGGAGAAGAATGTACATAGTCTGTCACTCACGCTTTACTTTTTCTCTGTTAGAATATTCTTATGTTCAGAGATCAGGATGAAACAGAGGCAGCCTATGGATGATCCTGCTGAGTGGGAAGGCAAGAACGAGATGAAACATTTCCTAGATAGACCTGCTGCTTCTGTGGTAGAAATATCAAAAGCATTTGCAAAATACTTTATATATAAAGTGTTGTAATTACAATATTATGACAATTACAACTTCAAATAATATAAACCACTCAGTTCATGAAAACAGTCCAAAGTAATCCAAAATACAGAAGTGCTTCAGATAAAGACCACAGTTCATGGAAACAGTCCAGAGTAATCCAAAATAAACAGAAGTACTTCAGATAAAGACCATTAGAATGTAGACACTTTATCAAGCCTTGAACTGACGTCTAATGACACAAGTGTGATGAGAACTGATCCCTGAAGACATCGGGCTGTTAAAGAAGCTTACATTCCTTTATGAATTTGGGGATAAAGAAGCTTACATTCCTTTACGAATTTGGGGAGGCCTTGGGCTCAAGGCTCTAGAATGCATGAAGCTGCCTTTTACTGAGTCAGACTGGCAGCAGCTTTCCAAAGTTTGAGGGCAGGATCCTTCCCAACACATTCTTACTTGATCCCTTTAACTGGAGATGCTGGGGATTGAACCTGGGGCTTCCTTCATGAAAAAAAAATGTCCTGTCACTTAGCGGTAACCACTCCTATGACTTAAAAAGAGCATGGTAGCTAGCTGCTTGCACTCATTCAGAATCTCTTCACTACAAGAGGGCTTGAAGGGAAGGATGAGGCTTACTGCTCAGAGACCCTGAGGCAAACTTTATTTTGGTCACCCACCTGCAGAATCCCTTTGCACTGACACACCCTCTGTTATGTTGCTAATACCCTACAGTTTCCATTACACTTGATGACTTATTCCTGCTTAGATGCATTATGGACCTCCCCAGTTTGTATGATTGGATGTCTGGGGGTTATTTCATGTTTAATATGGCATGACATGGAACAGCTCTGGGCTTTCACACACCATTAAGTCCTAGCATATTTAGTCCTAACAGGCTTGTGGGTTAGTATGCAAATAGAGCTGTTCCATGCTATCCACGTGTACCTCATTTAGGTGTATAGATAAGTGTGTGTGAGCCTTGGCCCATATGAAACATTCTGTGTTACAAATGTGAGGTCAAAGTTTTCTTTGCCTCACATAGAGGATAATTAACAGCCCTTAGAGATGCATACGGTCTGTTTGGGACCAAGGGGTATCCCTGTAAGTTATGACAGCTATTGATTTTAGAGTTCAGGATTTATGGATTTAGCAAGTAAGGACTGATAGCAAGATGTCTAGTTTAGTGACAGGCTCCAAGGAGATTTAGTTCAAAGTTTCTGTTTTAAAGTTAAAAACAAGAGTCAGGTTTTTAGTTGATTTTGTGCCAGTAGAGAATATGACCCATAGCTATGCTTCTTAGCCTTCTAACATCTCCACAATGGAAACTGTGGTTGTGTAACTATTTTTCTGCTGCACAGATAGGTGAATCACTACTGCGGTACTGATAGGTGAATCACTACAGCAAATGCAGTCTTGTGCTTTATTATGGAAACTTACTGGTTGGGGGGAGGGGGGTTCTGTTTACAGCCCAAGTGCCACATAGGCTGCTGGCTGTTAATTTCGCTTTACTCTTTTCTTATGCTATAAGCCCAGCTGTATCTCTTTAATCCAAAAACCAAAAGGTTCTGTCCTTAAAAGTACAGAGTTGATAAGCAGTGTCAGATTCTGCTGAGCTGTGTGCTTGCATAAGAGACGAGGTTTGAAAAAAATTGGCATGACTGAAGAAGAAGAAAATTCGCTGTGCTGTGATTGGAATATTTATTTCTAAATAAAGTTTAGCATTTGCTGGGTTTAGTCTGCAGAACTTTCCTGAGTGGTTTAGGATTTTTATGATCAAGCAGTCATTTATATTTAAAACAGAATCAATTTATTACCCTTGACAATTAGAAGGCTACTTTGACACACCTCTGTCCTATTTTGACATATTTATTGCTTCACTGTTTCCCCCCCTAATAAATCCAAACAAATGGTGACCATATGAACTTAGCTTGTTATTGCTGTTTAGTCTTCGTATATGTCAAAACATCTTCATTAAGTTATATGCTAATTTACTGTTCACCTGTGTAGAGGCATCTGCCTTTATAGTTGAACTGTTAGTTTCCATTTCAATGTATCTGAGGAAGTGTGCGTGCACACGAAAGCTCATACCTTGAATAAACGTTTGTTGCTCTTAAAGGTGCCACTGGACTCAAAATTTGTAATGTATTTAACTATAGTAATCAGATATTTTTTGTATCATCATATCTACATTTTGAAAACTTACTGCCATCCTTATCTGAATACTGAATAGCAAGATGTAACCTGGCCTTGGAATATTTAGTTATTCTGGAAGATCAGAGTTCACAAATAAACAGTCTATGTGATTAGTAGCCATTTTGTAGCAGTGCCCACAATCCTTTCCCAAAATTTCACAAATGCCTGCAGAAGCAACAAAGTTGGGGATGCCTAATAAACACAGGGTCCTAAAAACAAACTTTTTTTGGCTTGGTGAAAAAGAGAACAAGCCTAGCTATGTGATTGTGGCAGAATGGGGGTTATAACATAACCACAAGTGTATTTCCATATAGAGCTTATTGTAGATTTCCAGTCGAATACTGTGGGGTACATCTAGGGATGTGGGGAGTGTATACATCTAGGGATGTGGAGAATGGCTTGAGTTTAGGCAGGCAGTTATACTGACCAGTGTAGAACTGTAACCAACTAAAGAACCTTTTGCATACAGTAGCAGTGCCACTGATTTCCTAATTCGTTGGATGTTAAACAGTTTTGTTGATTACATCTGTTCCTTGATGTATATCCTTGCTGATTCTGGTCAATGATTCTGGCTTGGACATTTAAACCGGGGGGGGGGGGGTGTCAGGTCCCACGGCAATCAACGGAGTACACACTTATAGAAAGGGATTACTTTATTGAAGCCATGAGTCACTTGAACAGAAGCACTGTTCAGAATAACGCAAGTGCAGGATGCTGGAAAGGTTAAAGCAAATTCATAATTGTTACAGCCAATAAACATGGTTCCCGCTCGCACCTAGAAAGCATTTTATGCGCTCAAACCCTTGGGAAAGCAACGGCAACTGTGTTATCACTACCAAACACTTCTCACAGTTTCTACTCATTAAAGTCAAAGCAAGTTTCTTCTCTCGACCACCTGTGACCTTGGAAAAGATAACGTTACAGCAAAGCATGGCTGGCGTAGTCTAACAAAAATGCAGTTACTATGAACTTATGCGCATGCCTACATGAGCGGACTTCTAGGGGGGGGGGACATATACAAACAAGTACATTGCAGGACTCAGATACCAGAATGGGTGGTAGTGCATGTGTAGTGTATACAAGATTGACCCGCGGGGGGGGGGGGGTATGTTTTTGGAGAGCTACTTAATTTTTTCCAAGAGACTTGGGACCTACCAGTTGCAAAATAATGGCTCACTGAGTGGGATCAGTCACAAAATGGTGGCTTGCACAAAAATTATAGTATTTCAGAGCAGGTGAAAAAACCTTCCCCTGTTGTTTTTCTCCAAAGCAAAACAATTCCACCACTCAGACAGTGACTTGCCCTGCATAAATATTTATTTATTTATATGCCACCTTTCCCTCCAGTTGGAACTGAAGGTAGCCTAGAACATCATTCTCTCCTCTGTTTTCCCACAACAACAAACCCTGTGGGGTAGGCCAGGCTGAGAGTTTGTGACGGGTCCAAAGTCACCCAACAAGCTTCCATGGTAGAAGTGGGAATTTGAACCCAGGTCACCCAGGGTTCTACTCTGCCACCATATCTACTACGCCACACTGGTTACTAGTTACCTCTGTGTTTTCATTGGAAGAGGCAAATAGCAGCTTTGATACAGGTGAAAAGAGTCAAGAGTATGATGCTTTCCCTCCCAGAACAAGGATATATGTGTGTGGACATGTTGTGAAGGCGCAGAAATGGATGGCAGAGGCTTCTGGTGATGTCCTTTTCCCATCCAGAACAAAGGTGCATGTATACATCTGCCACTACCTCCTTCACACAAAAAGAGAAAAGAAACATTGGTTCATCTCGCCTAGTATTGTTTAGTCAGACTGATAGAAGCTGTCTCTCATCAAGTTCTTTCCGGATATTCTTTCTATGGAGATTCCAGGGATTTAAAATCCAGCATATGCCCTACTACTGAGCCCCAGGCCCTTCCATCTTCCACTAAATCTGAGTATTATGCTTTGTAAGGAGAGAGCATTTGTAGTGTGCTTCATTAGAAATACTTTTCAATCATTTTTCTTCTCCCTCTAGCTCCAGATGATCTTCAACTGAGGATGTACCGTTCAGAAGTGTATGTGTCTTTGCAGAGATATCCAGAGGCCCTGAAGGATTTGGAGATGCTGTGTGTTCAGGAACCAGAAGAATGTGAAGTGAGTTGGGTGTGCAGTTATGTTGTTGTCCAAGACAAGTATCTGCTTCAGGCTGTACACAAAGCAATACGAAGCAATATGATCTAGTATTACAGTCTTAAAATACAGTCTTAAAAAATCTTTCTTTTCCTACTTCCACATTTCAACAGTTCCAACATTAAATACATGAGCTGAAATAATTCAAACTCTATATATTGAACCAATGATAGCAAACTTGTATCAATATACTTAATGCTTCTAGCTCACCCAAGTGCAGTCAAATGAATAGTTTTCATTGTGTACCACACCTTTAATAACCATTCTCACTTACTGGGAGGAAAACTATTCATGCCTCCGTTAGCGTGTTTACTTTCTATATGTATTTGGTACTATAATAGTACAGTTTAATAAGATTACTTCCAGATTAATTTGGGAATTTGGACACCTCCCCTCTCCCTTAAACATCAGGAAATATGTTCTGCAGCATCTCCACTGCATATGCTGAGAACCTGTGGTTTTTCTGAGAACAAAACCAACGTTCACTATTTTAGAGACAGAGAAACCACTGATAATTTTAAAATAATTTTCTCATAACTATGTTTACTGAAAATAATGCAGCGTATATATCATTTTGCTTTATTTAGCTTGTAACCTAATGCTTTACAACACTTATTATGCTAATTACACTTTTTATAGTCCAAATCTATTATGGAAAATTTTGGATTTGCTGTTCTTTAGGAAAAGACATCTTTGTCATTCCTGCAGATAGACATTCCTTGGGTAAGGGGCTACCACCAAGGACACCTCTACCTCTTGGTAGATCTTTGAAATCCTAGACTGGTAGTTAGATGGTGATTCAAGAAAGTGTTCCCAGAGATTTGGGGCATCATGCTGGAGCATTGGGTGGAGATGTTTTCGTAGGCCAACTGATCTTATGTAAGAAGATGCCTTGTTCATCTCCATCAAAAATCCTTGAAATAACATTCTATATTTCTAATGTTTTCTCTGCTTCCCTGTTCATTTTTTTTTTACTCCTGATATGTACATGACCGTGTGTTCAAGTGCTAATGGAATAACTGTTTAACTTGATTGTTTGAGGGTAAGATTTACTTATTATTTGACTGGTATTTCATGAAAGATGGCGTATGCCCAAGCAGGAAGTATTCTTGCATTTCCACAACCAAGCAAGAGTTTCACATGGATATTTTCTTCTAGTTTAAAACAAACAAACAAAAACTAATCTGTAATTGTGACTGAACAAAAACTGAATCTTTTTGGTTGGATCTGATATCTTTCCATTGTTTTTATAAAAACAAATACCTCTGTATAATGTTTCCAGGTCATTTCATTGCTGACCTAAGAGTGGCAGTCCTCGGACAAAGAAACTTCAAGTGGAGATTACAACATGAGATTGCTGAACTTGAGTTCATTCACAAGTTTAGAACAATGGACCCCCAGGGCTGAATAGGAACATAAGAATCTTATCACATTAAAGATGCTAATTTTCTGCCACCTGTGCTCTAATCAAGCTAATTACAATACGCATTGTACCTTTGTATACTGAGTTCCTTTTTTACAACATCCGTCCCACCTTCTAACTGGGATATAAAGACTCTCCCCATTCCTACTTGTATCTGATGAAGGGAGCATTGACTCTCAAAAGCTTGTACCCCAAAAATTTTGTTGGTCTCTAAGCTACTGAACTCACCTAACTGTTCTATATAATGGGTATGCTACTGAACTCACCTAACTGTTCTATATAATGGGTATGTATAGATATATACTCTCCAATAAAATATTTGCATTTTGATTGAAGACATTCCCTCGGTATCTTAAGATGAGACCCCTCCTCTTCTTAATTTGATATGTACATACACACAACTATTTTTAGTAGCAAGGTAGTAACTTACCTGTAGGTCTTGCATTACCCTGGCCATTTTCCTGTCTCTGTTCTTTCATTGTTAGAGTCTTCCCTCTTAAAACTGGTGAAACTGATTTTCTTCAAATTCTGCATTAGCAATGCACTTAACATAACCTTCTAATTTCCTTTGCGAAGAAGGAGGATTTTTATGTCTCTACACAACTTCAGCTACTTCATGATGCCTCACAGATGTTGCAAGCGTCCCTTTTCCTGCCTTTTATTGCAAAACCTATAAGTTATGGATGAGTGCAGGGGTGAACAGCTGTTGTTGTGCAGCATCAATGTTGTACAAGTAAATAAGGGAAAAAATAACATAAATTGTCAAGGGATTCCTGCTTTCTGTTTTACCATGACAGTTTGTAGGACAACAGCGGACATGATTCTGGCCCTGGAGAGTATAAGTGAATGTGTTCATTTACTATTATTGTGAATCTGACTTTTGAATGCCATTACTTTGCCAGAAGGCCAGTACAGTTGTTGCGAAACCAAGTACACTTGTAATCCTGACCTTGACAGCTCTCCTGGCAGCTTCATTGGGTGGATCCTGTTCAGGAAATCTGTCAATGAAGTTTCAAATATGGAAGATGAATAGTTCATCTGTCACTTTGAATTAAGTTTAGTGTGTCTAATCAGCTCTGTTAGGGTAAAGAAAAAGCCACCAGAGGTATCTAGCTTTCTATCACCTGTATTCATTTAAACTCTTTGCTTGTAGGTTAGCAAGTTAAGAAGGCTGAAGATATGGACAGACTAGAAAGATAACTCCCAACTCCTGTTGAAGTGAGCATGTGTTGTGGATGTAGGTTAGGGTCAGATTTCTGGTTTTGTTTGTTAGCTTAATTTAAATGATACTGTATTGAGAAGCCCAGCTATTACTTTCAAATGCTGGTCACGTGCTAGAGAAAAGCAATAATGAATCTCCTCATGGGGTTAGAGTGATAGATATTCTTTTCGGAAGGTGGAATTGAACTTCTCTACTAGTCTAATGATGGAATTGCATTTTACTTTTGTCTTTTTCTTAATTTGTACCATGGAGTTGGGACAGGTGGCAGTGCATGTAAAAGTAGACTAAAATATAAAAATTCATATTAGAGTAAAAAAACTCATGAGCTTTGAATGTAAACCCATACAGAGAGGACATTGAGGCAGGCTATCTAGTCTCTATGTCAGTGAGCCTTCTTAAGAAGGGAACTTTCATTCTTGTGCAAGTATTTGCATCATCAGTGGCTTACCAAAATGCCATAGTGGCATGAGAGTGGGCTGGAAATACTTAACTTCAGGACTTCAGGAATTGCAGTTGCTACTTTTCAGCATTCATTATACTCTAAAGAACCAATGGACATTCTACAAAAAGAAAATGGATGTGCTGCCCACAAAATACTCTTTGTTCATTGTTACCAGTCTTCCTGTGCAATCCTCCATCAGCCTAAACACTCTCACAGTGAACTGTAGAACAGAACCCTCTATGATGTGGCATATTTCCAATGTGTACATATTTTGTATGGGTGATCTGGTTGAGCCTAGCAACACTGGATTCAGTATCATGGTGTCAAATCACGTGTGTGTTACATCCCCCCCCGCACCTTTTGTGGTGGCTGTGGGGTGGGGGGTTTGAGGCAACTGCCTTCTGGACAGACGAATGCCCAATCCCCCACTCTGGCCTCTCCTACAGGTTCTTTAAACCCCAACCACCCATAAACAAATAAAAAGGGGGACATAAGGTTTGAATAAAGGATTGGTAGCATGTCAGTTATGTGCTCCCTAAAGGCCTCTTACTTGGAAACTTGCTAGACCAAGGCTGTACTTATATGTGAGGTAAATAGAGATCACTTTTCCTTGAACACTTAACAGAAAATAAAATACTTAATTAGGGTAAATATTATGTGTGGATGACTTCAGTATTTATAGTAAAACTGGCTCTCAATTAAGTAAATAAATCCTGAAGGGAGATTTGATTCCCCCCCTCTCATCAGTTTACCTCAGCAGGTTCAAGACTGCTCTTTTCACACACAGAGCACCTTTCCACACACCAGTTAGTAATGATGGGCCCTTAACAGGATATTTATTTGTCATACTAAAATAAGTTTTCTTCCCTAAACTGACCCTCAGTCCCTAACTAAAAGCCAAGTAAAAGTCTGGCTACACTGATGGTCCTTTCCAGAGCCACGCAATCCCTATCCAAAGAGAAAAAGTTTTTCTTCCCCACTTTAAGTTGAGGCTGGCTCAACCCCCTCCTAGCCAGTGGAATTCTGTGGTCTCTGATTGGCTGACAATCTCTTGGCTTTGCATGAAGCCAGAATCACAAGGATTGGTTCAGAGCCCTGGAAGAGTGGCAGGACTTTTAAGAATGATTGTCACACTTTCCTCGAAAGAGCCCACTGTGGCTTAGGTGGTTCTCCCCTCACCTTTTTATCCTCGCAGCAGCCCTGGGCTGAGAGAGTGTGACTGGCCTACGGTAATCCAATGTGTTTTTAGCAGAGCAGTCATTTCAATCTGGATTTCCCCAGTCTGAGTCCAACACTTTAGTCATGATACCACACTGGAACATCTTGATTCCAAAGTTCCTTTGGAGGCAGTTTGGTGTAGTGGTTAAGCCTCTTTTTTTTTTAAATCTTTGTTAATAATATTTTATTTGATTTTTTACATCGTGTAAAACAAAATACATATTTTAATTTTACAATACTTTTGGAGCTTCTTATCCATATATTTCTAACGACCTATCTAGTTTCTGCCATCTTTTCTTAAACACACTGTCCAGTTTTCCCGCTAGTAACGTATTTATTTTGTCCATTTCTTTTATGTCCATAATTTTTATAATTAATTCTTCTTTATTTGGCACTTTATTTGATTTCCAACATTTTGCTATAGCTATTCTAGCACTTGTGAGGATGTAGAGTATTAAACGTGCGTCATTAAAGTTTATACTGTCAGGTAAGATGTTTAATAAGTATACTTCTGGAGCCAATGGCAAATCTATTTCTACTATTTCTAGAAACAGTTTTATAATTTTCCAAAATTTTGTGACTTTTTCGCACCTCCACCAGATGTGGTAGTAGGAACCAACATTTCTTTCACACCTCCAACAGTTCCCTGAAACGTTCTTGTAGCATTTTAGTGCTTTATCTGGCGTCCAGTGCCACCTATGAAACATTTTGAAGATATTTTCTTTGTATGATGTGGCTCTTAGTAGTTTTATTGAATTCCACATTTTTGACCATTTCTCTATACTTCTATTACTTCCTATATCTTTTGCCCATACCTTCATGTATGGTTTTATTTTTTCTGTTTGTGTGTCATCATCTAATAAGAAATTATATATTTTTTGTATCAATTTGTCAGCGGAGGACAACCAAATTTTATCTAAATTTGTGTTTGTTTTTGTGAAACCTCTTGTTTTGTCTTTAGCGAATCTCGATTTTAATTGTATTTTCTCCCAACTTGAAAGGTTAATATTCATTGCTTGCAAAGATCCAAAATCTTTCAATTCATTTTCTTTTGTGAGTATTGTGTCATAACTGGCAATTTTCTCTTCCATCATTAAACTTGGCATTATAAAAGCTTCCAGTGGCGATACCCATCTTGGTATTTTATCATAGAATTTTTCCTTCACCATTCTCCATACTTTTATCAAAGAGTCTCTCAAAATATGATTATGGAAGTGTTTCTGCTTTTTCTCTTCGTCATACCACACATAGGCATGCCAGCCCATGTGTAGATCATGACTCTCCAGTTTTAAGGTTCTTCTATCTTCTAACAGTACCCAATCCCGAATCCATCCCATTGCAGCCGCTCTATAGTATAGTTTCTAATCTGGTAGTCCCAGGCCACCTCTTTCTTTTTTGTCATGCAGTAATTTTAATCTTATGCGGGCTCTCTTTGCTTGCCATAAGTTATTCTGAATCAAGTTTGTTACCTAAAATGGACAGTCTCCACATAGTTTTGGGAGATTAGCTTGGAGACGAAGTGAAAGTCAGGTAAAAACAGTTTTCAAGAGCTTGGAGATTAGCTTGGAGACGCAGTGAAAGTCAGGTAAAAACAGTTTTCAAAGCGCATGTCAGAGCAGCTGGCTGGCTACTAGGACAATGGGTCACCCAGGACCTACTGATTCACTCAGTATAATCCCATCAACACCCTAGCCCAATTTCCCCTTCACCCATTACCCCTGCTTAAGCAGTAATTAATCAACACTTAAGTCTATTCACCTTCCCTATCAGCCTTCCCATCCTGTGCTTGTAGGGCCATCAAACCTCTCCCACCTATTTGTCTACCTCCAGTAGAGCAATCAAGTCATCGTCCTCTGGTGGTGCATCAACCTGCCTCAGGATATGTTTTGCCCTATAAATATGTCACCCAGCTGCCCCAGCAGTGTGTGTGTGTGTTCTTGGACCCTCCACACACACCCACACTTGTGTGTGAGCTTTCTCCCTCTCACTTCCCAAAATGCTAGCTGTTTCCGTCCTCAACTTGCTGCTACCACAGACCTCTTCAGGATCAGCAAATATCACCCTTCCCCTAAACAGCTTTCCCCTTTCTTCCCTGCTTTTCTTAGAGAGCTCTTGTATGCATTTATTGTGTATGCGTAGCCTAGATTTTTTAAAAATAAAAACCCTACCAGTTGAACATCTGCCTGGCTAAAAGAGTTCTCAGAGGGACAATCCCCGTATACCTAGGTGGAGATCTCAGTTCTCGGCCCCCCACCTGATTGGCATCCATCTTGGTCCATTTTAGCCCAAGCAGTGCTCTGCACTTAAGGTATTGATATTAAGAGGGGGTGTTTCTGGTTCTTTTAGTTCTAAACTGCCCCTCAGTAGGAGGAGGGGTCTGACTGCTAACAACTTTCCCCATTGGTGCTCCCAGTCCTTAAATGCTCCTTCACTGTCTTGACCATTGAATGCCCAGCAGTTGAATTGTGTTGAAAGGCCCTTGATTCACCTTTCCAACCCACCAAAAATATGTGCACAGTAGCCATTGTCCAGATTTAGGTTTCAGCAACACAGTTGTCTGGCTCGCCTGAACTTTCAAATTTTTGCGACTGTTTAGATGAGCTATAGTGTCATCTCATTCTTAACCCATTAAAAGAGTCCAAGAAGATAGGGCATAATTTAAATAAATATGGGAAGTTTGCAGATTAAAAATCAAAGTGCCAACATATTAACTATCTTGCTTTGAATATATATTTTTACGAATTTGGATCCTCTTTCAAGTTAGATGTTATCTCAGTCAGTAAAATAGTGTGAACTTGTATTGCTCCATATCATTAGTTCAGTTTCTGTAACTGGAATACTGAAATCCTTTGTTCTCAGGCGGCCCCTTAAATTTACCGATACACCCTGGAGTGGATGGTGCACGAGTCTCAATAGGTGACTGCTCATGAATTCCCACTTCAGCCTTTTGGTTTGCTTGAGTGGTAGACATACAGTTATTCTTTAGGCATATCATCAGTGGACTTTTACTGTTACAGGAAATAGTTTTGCCTAGTGAAAGCAGGAGACTTTAAAAGATAATTGGCTTGAAGTATTGCAATGAATCCTAGTGTGTTATAATCAAACACCATTAGAGTTCACGTTTGATAACAAATATTTTGACTGAGAAAAGGAAAATGGGAAACTCAGCAGTGGCCCATGTTGCCTCTAGTGTCACGTAACAGCCCAGTGTTATGCACCTTGACTCCAATCAGAAATAACGTATACTGTTGTCTTTTTTCCAGATTCTCACAAGTGATGACTCCCTTTTTCCAGGCACTGTTGTGGGGTTAAAGAGTGACGTCAGTCAGAACTCGAAAGAGTCAAATTCAGGGAAAGAACCAACTTTATTTGTGCCTTCTGAAGGAGAATGGCTACAGGTGAGCAACTTTAGATGCCTTTAGTATTACAAGTCTACTAATGGCAAAAGGGAGTTAGATATATATAACAGTCTCTCTGTATCTGTTTGGTGTAGTGGTTAAGTGCGCCGACTGTAATCTGGGAGAACCGGGTTTGATTCCCCACTCCTCCACTTGCACCTGGCTGGATGACCTTGGGCAAGCCGTAGTTCTGATAAGAGCTGTTCTTGAAAAAAAAGAGCAGTTTCTGTCAGAGCTCTCTCATCCCCACCTACCTCACAGGGTGTCTGTTGTGGGGAGGGGAAGGGAAAGGAGTTTGTATGCCGCTCTGAGACACCTTTGGGTAGTGAAGGGCGGGGTATAAATCCAATCTCTTCTCTTCTTCTTCTATACATAATATGAACCAGCAGTGTCTCAGATGGTAGGCTGTAACAGCTTGGTCATGCGTGTTTCTCTGAGCGTTTCTAAGTGATCCAGGTCTTTTTAAATACCTGATGGCTTTGAGTGGTGCCTAAACTCACTGGTGAATCTGTGCTTTTACAAGGGCATAGAAAACTACTGAAACCAGCAGAAAACATATCCATTTTTTTTGTTCGCAGAATATAAGAAAATACGTTTTTTAAAAAATGTAATGCACTTACCCCTGTTTAAGTATGATCAGGAAAGGGTGTTCTTTTGTTCCAACTTGTTTTGTTTTGAACTTATATAGGATTTAAAGCAAAGCCAAGAAGTTTGGCAGGAAGAAACTATGACTGGTCAGAACCTTGGATCACTTTCCCTGCCAGAGTGGTTGTTGAAGAAGTCTAACTCTGGTGTTTTTGACAAAAAGGAGGAAGGTGAGACTGTCTGAAGATGTCTACAGATTCATATAACTGGCAAAGAAATTCTGATCTCCTTTTGGGATAAAGAAAGGAGGGATTCTTGCTGTTTGGGCTCCCTTTCACTGAACTGAATTCTGTGTAGTGCAGTGTGGCATACTGAGTTCTTCTGCCTAACCGTACCATTCAGATCTTACAGACTGTCAAGTACAAGGCCCTAACGGAGACACATAGATCTTACCTGAACAGTGTGGTCAGTGAGCATCCTTGTTTTCCACCGCTATACCAGTGAGATTCTACTGTTTTTGTTCCTTCTCTACCCCACCACCAATAGCTGTTGTGGTAGAAGCTCTTCAAGAAAAGTAAGAAATTATTAATAAAGAGGGAGTAATGCTCCTTTCCTACCAAACCATCCAGTCATCGCCTAGTAGTCAGGTGATATTTCCCTGCATGTATGTGGCAGAAACCAGCTAGAGAACCAGCACATTGGTTCTAGTCTCTAAGATTCCAAACTGTAGAGCCATCTGAATGTTCTCAAGGTAAAACACTGTAACGGGTGGGATTCCAAGAACAACATGTTCTTCAAAATGCATATTCTTGGATTACTCAGGAATGTGTGCAGTCATAGTCAAGAGATGGGGTGTAGAAGTGTTGTAAAATTAAATTATGGAGTTGTGAATTGTGCATTGTACTTAGGACAGCGGAAAAAGACAAATAAGTCATGTGTACTCCCCCAAATTATAATGTATCAAGTTGCTTTTGCTGTGCAATTTCACTTGCCACTGAAGTATCATATGTGACCAAAGTTGGCCTTTTGATCCCTAGAGTGAGGACAAAGAGAACACGGGTTCCATCTGTTTTTCTTCTGTGTGTCTGTTTACTGGATCTTTCTGTACCTTGGGTGGTCATGTACAAAGCAAATGTGATAGCACTGTCCTTCCACTTGTGTGAGAGGTGGTGGGATATGGTGAGAATGGGGTTGATGTGTGACGCTGATTTTTTAAAAAAATGTTTATTTTTGCTATCTAGATACTGAGAAGGGAGCAACAGCAGAAACAACAGGAGCCAAGTCCACACAGGGCATTAGGAGCCTCTTGAGTACATCAGACTTGGAATGTTCTCTTTGCATACGGTTTGTTTTTCTTTGTGATGTTAGCTGGCAGATGGAGGTTCACCCGCATTCCCTCGTGTAAATACTTTATGTCAATCATGCATATAACTTTCTAGGCAAAAGATAGATGGCAGAATTCAAGAGAGGTGATTAGAGATGTAAAAAGTACTTTGAGAGCAACCTACTGGCCACTCGTCTTTACCTTTTAAGAAATGTCTTAGGGGCTCATATGAAAATGAACATATGAACCTGCCATATACAGTGTACGACTATTTATCTGTCTAGCTCTGCCAAGCAGTGGCTTTCCAGAGTTAACCAGAGAAATATACCTATTTCACAAGATAATTTAACTGAAGATGCCAGAGACTGAGTCTGTGTTTTTCTGCATACTTTCTGGAGAATCTGAAGTCACTTTCTTTTGTCCTGAAAGTGTCTGGAAGCCATGACCAAAGAGGAACAAGCTGTATCACCAAGCCGTGGTCCCCTTCCTAAGACAATTCATGTTACATCATTACAAGACCACAGGAAGGTGATTTGCAGGCACGTTCTTATATGGCAGTGTCAATAGTTTGCCTTGTTTAATGTAAAGCAGCTTTTTAGGGCCAAAGGTGTCTTTATACTGTGACTCTTGAGTTTGTTTAAGCAGTAGTATTTATGATCAAATCTGGGACCTCATCTGTGCAAAGCCTCTGCTGTACCCCTGAGTTTTGGCTCTTTCCTAGAGAGATTACTGTATTTAAATATATTTCTCAGATTTAAGTGCCTTGCTGGAGCAGTCATCTGTCACATGAGAGCGAATTGTTTTTATGAGCTGTGATTCTGAACAGAGCTGGGATCTCCTGCTGCACACTTTTTGAGTGCAGGCTTGTTTTATGCCTGCCAGCCTGTTATTGTTGTTATTTTATTAATATCATTTTATTGGATTTATAGCCTGCTCTCCTGGAACTGGTTCAACATCAATTTGTAAAACATACAGCATTCTAAAACATTAAGAAATAAATTAAGAAATACAATAAATCCACTAAAGATTATAATAATTACAATAAATACAATAAAATACATCCACTATACAGCTAAAAGATGGCGTAAAATCCTGTGGAGGGGCAATATATAAATGTCTGATGAGAAGAGAAGAGGGAGGGGAGGGAGGAGAAGGAGGGGGAGGCCAATCGTAGTTGAAACCTATCAGAAAAGAGCCTGTCGCTGCCCTCAGTCATAAGCCTGGTGGAACAACTCTGTTTTGCAGACCCTGCAGAACTGTAACAAGTCCTGCAGGGCCCTGATCTTTCCTGAAAGAGGGTTCCAGCAGGCTGGAGCTGTTCCAGCAGTCTGGAGCCAGCGTTGAAAAGGCCCTGGCTCTGGTTGAGGACAGCCGGACGCTCTTTAGGCCAGGAACCACCAGCAGCAGATTTTGACCACTGGAGCGTAATGTTCTTTGGAGGGCTGCCACTGGGTGAAAAGAGGAGAATTTGTGAAACAGCCAGGGCTTTTTACAAGCAGTGTGGTGTTAGAAAACTTAATCACAAAGCCCTTGGAATAGCTGAAGATTTGTGCACCATCACCCCTGTAAGAGAGCATTCTACCACTACTAGCGTTTCCATTGGATTCCCACCAAACAGACTTAGCCATTGAACAAACTAGAGAGCTGAATGTCTTTATCAGCCCCCTGGTCCATTTAGCTCATTATTGTCATTCTGATCATCAGCAGCTCTCTAGGTTCTTAGGCAGAGAAACGCCTTTCCTAGCAACTGCTCCCTGTGGTTCTTTTAATTGGAAATGTTAGAGACTGGACCTGGGGTCTCCTCTATCCCTCAGCCATGGTCTTTCCCCACAACAGCTTACCTTGTCCCTGGGATTCAACAGTGCTGCTGATGCCAGTGGAAGCTCCTTGTATGTTGGGAGCAAGTATGGAGATAGGTTTGGCAAACTTACCCCTCCTCGATTAACAAATATCTGAATTCGTAAGTGCAGAGTCAGTGAGTGAGAATACCTCTGTCCTTCATGTAAGCCGGTGTTATTCAGGGAAAGCAGGAGACGTTGCTCTGAGTAAAAGATACAACGTATATCTGTGGTCTTTTCCCTTTCAGTTAAAAATCAGATGGTATGTATATCTGTGTTTTCCCTTTCAGTTAAAAATCAGATGGTAATGCTGCAGTTCTCAAACAGGCAGCAAGTCTGTGGGTCTTATTTTCAGGTCTGTAGCGGAAAATCAGCAATGGCATGAGTGATACCAAATAAAGGGAATTGTGGTATTATTTACATTCCTCATGGGCCACTTTCAGACTTCCCTTTGGGACAGCTTCCTTGCCTTTGCAAATCACAATTCAAACAACCTCAAGCCATCAGAACCTGGGGCATGCAGTCACTCATTACCTGAGTGCTAGAACTTTCTTCAGGTGCCTAATGATACATCTCCCTCCTTTTCACCATCATTGCTGATTCACCTTTTTCTTCTCTGGTTGGTTTGCAGTATGTTCTTTGAGCCAGTGACGACACCTTGCGGCCATACTTTCTGCAAAGAGTGTGTGGAGCGCAGCCTAGACCACAGGCCCAACTGCCCACTCTGCAAACAGAGCCTGAGAGAGGTAAGGTGAACCTAGCAGCAGACTTACATGAGGGAAAGGGCAAAGGTTCATCTCTAATTGCCTACAGCCTTTTCTAAATGTTGAGGGGAAAGGGTTACAGATACTCTCTTGCAACCTGGCACCTAGCTATCTCATTTTCTACTTAATTTGGGCTCTTTTTGGATGCCAAATAAAAGACCTTATTAATTTATCCAAGTCCAAAAAATATTGACTTTTTTCAATATTGGGAGGTTTTGTCCTTTCTCCAAGTTGCATATTTTATATTCTTATAGCCACCTGTGGCCCTCATCCACAGATAGCTAAATCTGCAGACTGGGGTGACACGGAAGTTAAAGAGATTTTTCTGAACACTTGGGGGGACTCCCCGGATGTGCAGAAAAATCTGACTTTGAAAAAAAAACTTTGAAAAAAAACATTTATCCCCCACCGCTTAAATTCACCTCCCCCAAATGAAAAGGCATTCTCTGTGTAAGTGCAGAGAATGCAACTAACTGATGGGGCCCAGAGGATCAGTAGCTGCACTAGAAGAGAAGAAGAAGAGATTGGATTTATCCCCCACCCTTCACTACCCAAAGGTGTCTCAGAGCGGCTTACAAACTCCTTTCCCTTCCCCTCCCCACAACAGACACCCTGTGAGGTGGGTGGGGCTGAGAGAGCTCTTGACAGAACCTGCTCTTTTTCAAGAACAGCTCTTATCAGAACTACGGCTTGCCCAAGGTCAGCCAGCCAGGTGCAAGTGGAGGAGTGGGGAATCAAACCCGGTTCTCCCAGATTAGAGTCTGCGCACTTAACCACTACACCAAACTAGACCCAGTTTTGGAGGCACAGCAACCCGGAAGCTGCATGACGCCTGGCAGCACAACAGCTTGGGAGCTGTGCTGCACCCAATGGTGGCAGCAGCCCAAGAGCCGCACTGGGCCTGGCAGTGGAGGTGCAGCAGCCGGGGAGCCATGCTGGGCTCGGCAGTGGAGGCGTGGCAGCCCAGGAGCTGCGCCGGGCCCAGCGGCAGTGTGACATGGCAGCCTGGGAGATGTAGCAGAGGGGTATAATGCCATAGGCTCCACTCTCCAAAGCATCCTTTTCCTCCAAGGGAACTAGGATTACCAACCTCTAACTGGGGGCTGGTGATCCTCTGGAATTGCAACTGCTTTCCAGATTACGTAGATCAGTTCCCCTGGAGAAAATAAGGCACCACTCTCAAATCTCCAGGAATTTCCTAACCTCCATCTGGTAACCATAAGAGGAATTGATCTCTGTAGCTGGCAGGTGTGTTGTGATTCCAGGAGATCTCCAGCCCCACCTGGAGGTTAGCAACCCTAGAAGGAAAGAAGTAATCAGGAAAAGGGGAGAGACTATGGGGGCTTTCAGGAAAGAGGAAATAGTGAGGGAGGGGGAAGTGAGATGCTTCCCACAAGTCCTTGTGGGTTCCCACTTGTATCCCCTAGTTTATACAACAAACTTTCAGACAATTTGCAAATTAAGAGGTCTTCTTGTGGAAGATGCTCATTGGAATGATACTGTAGAGAAAGTAACTATATTGAAAACACTTATAAATGTACAAAAAATATGGCCAAACACTACCTCTGGAGTTAGTCAACAAAGCAGAGCCCCTATAAAATGATATTGTTAGTGAAGCAAGTTATAGAGTTGGTGGGCAGAGCGAGAGGGTCAGATCTGGTAGTTCATATAAACAAAATCAACATAGATTGGACTGTATTAATACAGTCTGCAGTAACCAGCAGCCATTAAGAGCCATACTAATGGTTTCTGTAGATTGTGACTTATTCACATTAAGGGTTCTCTATGTGATCTTCTCTCCCACAGGTTAAAAAGTAGCTGGCTTGAGTATAGGACCTGGCTCCATGGGATGGTTCCTGAAATGTTCAGTATAAGTGAAATAGGGCAGAGTGTAAAGAGTTGTTCCTTTACCTTGGATAAAGGAACAAATACTTCTAGGGTTTGTAAGACACATCATTTTTCTACCTTCACTTTGTATAAGTTGTCTGTAGCTACAACTGTAAATAGTGGACAGTAATATATTTATCATGTTAGTAAGGAAAAAAGGTGTTTATTATGTTAGAGAGATTTCTTTCCCTTGGAAGTTATGTGGCCCTGCACTGGCCAAAGTGTAGGAATAGACCATAACCAACATTTGATGGTACAACATAAACAGAAAAGCAACTTATTTCGGTTCCAAATAGTCTTTGAAAATTTATGTAGAGGGGCTTCCGGTTTTCAGCACTTCAGCAATGGCTGCGTCTCTTGGCTCCTCCGAGAGACATGTGCCATGAATCGGGGATTAGGAGGGAGCGTGATTGTGCATGCTCCCCCATGAAGCCCATAGGCAATGGGCTCCTAGCCAGGGGGCTTTGGAGAGCCCTACCTCCGTCCGTCAGCCGGTACAGGGGGGCTACTCTCTGCCCCGAAGGTCCTGCTCTGATTCCCAGTATTGGATTCGAAGCGACCACCGGGACAAGCGTATGAAGGTTTGGCAATTCTACTATGCCTAGCGAGATCCCAGGGAGACCTGCTGGATCGTTTCTGAAGACGGATGAGTGAGTTTAAGTTAAAGCGAGACATCGGAGCTCTGTTGCAAAGCCCCCCCCCCAACTAAAGCGGGAAGGGGGAGGGGACGCCCTACTCCCTCAAGCGATTGAACGAAGCGGGATGATGGGGGACTGAGCTAACAGTAGCAATTGATTACAGTAGAAGGACTAGATCAGAGAAATTTTCCAATAAAAGCGTTTACAGACCTTTGAGACCTTGGCAACTTTAATCGGTAAATGTAAACAACCCTCCAAGATGGCGATCGGAGGCTTTGAGGGAGGTGGGACGCAAGCTTCTCTCAGTAAGAAGAAAAATGGAGGGCTGGGTCAGCTGACCTAACCTAAGCTCTTCCTATAGCATGAAATTGGGTGCCATCTGCTGGCTAAAGTGGGATATTCGACCGGGAACGGCTCTAAACGTGGCGATACTTTTAAAGGGACAGTGTTTACAGTGAGAAGCAGCGAGTTGTGGATTGTGGACGAAATTGAGACCATGTCTAGCTTATATTGGATGGTGGCAAGCAGATCAAAAAGCGATAATAAAGGGTGGGTTACTCTTGTAATATAAAATCTGCATGTAAAGTGAATGGCTGGTCTCTCTAACCAGAGTGTGGATGAAGCAACAAGCGAGTGAAAGCCCTGGAAAAGGAAGTGGTACTAACTGGACAGAGCCTGTTTCATTAAAGCTGTTTATGAAAGAAGAACCAACAGAGAAGGAAGAGGATTAATTGAGACGATTGAATGGACTGAGAGAATGTAGGCTCCACAACGTAGTGTTTGTAGGGAGGGAGGGAAAGGGTAATGGGAGAGGTCAATGTCTTTTAAGGTCTTTATATTTCTTAATTAGCTTTGGAACTATTCTCTGTCTAGGCAGATAAGCTGGATTTTCACTTGAAGCGAATAAGGAAACTCCTCATGTCGGAAGCTAATTGTTATGAGTTACAATTTATGAGTTATAAGCATATGTAACCTTCTACTCTTGGGCTTTTAGTGCCTTCTGTTCTGTCTCCCTTAGTTTGTAGTCTCTTCCCTCCCCTTTTTTCGTTATAGTTATATAGTTATTTTAGGAATGCAATTTTTTAAAAAATCCCCTCTTCGGGGGGCACAAAAAAAATTCTGTAGAGGATTAGCTCAGTTCTTATTTGAAAACATGCTAATCTGGGGTTTTGGTACTGGGGCACATTCTGTTATGTGTTGTTAGTTGTCAAAACTAGGACATTGCTTTGTAACTTTTCAAGGAGGGGGGCCAACGAGAAGTCCCTGTAAAGGGAGATATTAGAGAGAGATATCCATCCTCATAATTTTTTAAAAAAATTCTTCCAGTACCTGAAGGCTCGGAAGTACAGTACTACAATAGTATTGGAGGAGCTCATGTCGACCATCTTTCCCTCGCAGTTGGCAGACAGGAGGCAGATCCACCAGACTGAGATGGCTGAACTCTCCAAGTAAGCATAAACGTTTGAGGGAAATCTTTTCATATTTGTGTCAGCATGTTATACAAAGGGGAGGGATTCTTATCTAGCAGTATTTTAGTCAAGTATTTTTCAGGAATACTTCCTGTCATGGAGCTAACTTGGTAGTGAATTGATGAGCTTCTTTTATATTGAAGTGCATTGACAGTGGAGTCATTCTTACAATCTGAGGAAATTATTCTGACTAAGAAATATAAATAAATATAAGAAATATAAATATAAACAACTATAACATTCAGCATACCAGACACCCTGCATGAAGAAATGTTGGGCGATGAGTCACACAGCGTCACAAACTTTAGGATTCTCTTTTTGTTGTTTATTAAACGAGAGGTTGCACCCCAGCAGTGTTTTGTTTTGCATGCCCCTTCCTTTTGCATTATCTGGATGCTATTGTAAGTGGCATCCTTTACTGTGTGATTCCCTGAACAATTTTTTTTAAAACCCTCAGGAGTGTCTGGTTAATTAGCCATTACTCCTATTTATACTGCAACCACTTATTAGTGTTTGCACATTACAAGATAGGAGTTACCTTTGTGAATATGAAGAAGTATGAGCATGGTGTGCACAGGGCCAACTTTAGATAACCTGCTCTCATACCATGGTGGACATCTTTACTCTTCCATCTCTGGTCCTTTCCGCACTTGGATCTCATCCCTGGTTTTATCAGAGTTCAAATTGCAACGCAATACCTTGCATTTATCCCTGGTTGTAACAGCATCTGTTTATCCCGGGACAAGTGTGGGGTGAAACCGGGGTGACCTCAATGTAATGGGGGGGGGGAATACCCTGAGATAATTACAGGGGTGAACTCGAGTGCAGTGTAGAATGTAAGTTCCGGGACAGGGTTGAACCAGGATTTAAGATCTAGTCTGGAAAAGACCTAACTCACTTCAGCACCTTTTTCTGTGGAGCTGTGGCTTGTCATGAGCTCTGCCAAGCCTAATACAACACCATCCCTTTAACCTCTTTTCTGTCTCAGTTGATCCATGCTGGAGAATTTGTCTCCATTCTTTTTTTCTAATCTAGCTTTTCTCTCTTTTACTGGATGGTTTCCACAGGTAATACTTTATTTACTTACACCATTCCTTGTGTCTCAGGGTCCTTTTCCACACTTCTACATTTCTCTTCTGAGGCGTGTACAAGCACAGAACCTCTGAGCAAGATATTCTCAACTCTTCCTCTTTTTTCCTGTCATGCTCTCATAACTCCCCTCTCATTTCTTTTCTGCCTTACTTTATTGCAGTGTCTCTGACTTTTGACTGTTTCTTTCAATGTAAAGGGTTGGATCTTGTCAGCTTTTTTACTGGTGAAAGTGTGAGGAGGATCCCCTTCATTCTACTGAAACACTATGCCAGAAGTTGTGGGGCCAAGAAAGACACGGGCTGTGGTGAGGATGGGAGTTGGGTGAGATTGAGTGGAAAAGCTGGTAGGATCCAACTTAAGGAAAATATGCCAGGGGGTCAAAACAGTGTATGGTGGGAAAGATAAAATCCATCTGTCTGTACCCATACTATGACCCTTGCCAGTTACATAGTGCTGAAGCTACATATTTTTTATGGTATATACATTGAAGGAATGGAGGGTATTTCATTCATAAGGCAAGAATAAGCCAATTATGTTACTGTTTCCTCAGAGCATGCACATAACCAGTCCAGTATAGTTCATATACACCAGTAACATATGATCATGCTTCTTCCTTCCCCCCCTCTACAGTCTTACCAAGGATGTCCCTATCTTTGTGTGCACACTAGCCTTTCCAGGCATTGTGTGTTCTCTTCATGTGTTTGAGCCTCGCTATCGCCTTATGATTCGAAGGTGTCGGGAGACTGGCACAAAGATGTTTGGCATGTGTATGTCTGAGAATGGGAAGAGGTAAGCCTTTAGGCCTGTGGGCAAAATCTCTTTAATTCTCATGTTTGTTGGGTGTTTCTTCTCTTGCAGAACCTTCACACTCCATGGTTTCAGGATAGATCAGTGGCTAGGATACCTTCCTGGCACTTGGTCTCTATGTTCCCTATTCTGATATGAACTGTCTCTATTGTAGGTGGAGGTCAGGATTTCACCCTGTGAGTGTCCTTGGCATCCCAATGATTTTCCATGTTTTTTGAAGTTCAGTGGACTTTTTTCCTGGGCTGCATTCTTCATAGATTACACATGTTGAAGCAATCAAATCACTTCTTCTGGTTACATCTTGATCAGGAATACCGGAAGTGGAGTGTAAAAGCAAAATGTAATTTGATTCACATTTCAGTAAGGTGGTGACTCTTCAGTCCTCACCAGCGGTTTTTGGCTTTTACCCTACAAGATCCTTCCTTCCACTCCTGCTTAGCCCCTCTCCTGATTTTTTTTTTTTACTGGTGGGTTAGTAAGGGTAAAGAAAGGGATAGCAGTGGGAGGAGAATAGTTCTCCAAAGACAGAAGTACTCTTCTGTCATTGGAAATACACAATAGGGTACAAACAGCTACGTGAATCTATGGAAAGTTGTTTCACACTCGGTTTAAGGTATTCATTCTTCTGTACTCATTAGTGGTCCACAGATGTGTTTTTAGTTTGCGGTTGTCAGATGGTGCAGCTAATAATACATAAAGGACACAAGGGATTCCTCTTTGTCATGAGTCCTATACATGGTCTCCCAAGATTTCCATTTCTTATAACATGTGGAATTTGCTGCCGCAGGAAGTGGCGGCAGCTACAAACATAGACAGCTTCAGGAGGGGATTGGATAAACATATGGAGCAAAGGTCCATTAGTGGTTATTAGCCACAAGGTATAGCTGGAACACCATGTTCAAGGTAGTGATGCTCTGTATTCTTGGAGCTGGGGGGGCACAGTGGGGGGGTTTCTGGAGTTCTGGCCCTACTGGTGGACCTCCTGATGGCATCTGATATTTTTGGCTACTGTGTGACACAGAGTGTTGGACTGGATGGGCCATTGGCTTGATCCAGCATGGCTTCTCTTATGTTCTTATTAAGCTCCAAGACCAGACTAGGTCTTCAGGCAGTTTTTCTAGCAAAACAGCACATGGAACAAGACTCCAAAAGGGCTCAACTTAGTACCACCAGGAGCAGGAAAAGAGCAAAGGGATATGATTATAACAAAATTGGTAAAGCCCTGTAGGTAGAGTTACTATTGGCTTTTCTATGAACAATCAAGGGAAGAGGAGTCCCTTTGAAGCTAAGCCCATTCAGGCTGACATGACTCACAGAAGGAAAAGAACAAAGGGGTGGGATTATAACAAAACTGGTAAAGCCCTGAAGGTGGAGTTAATATTCCATTTTCTACAAACAATCAAGGGAAGAGGAGTGCCTCACAAGATAGTCCCATTCAGGTTGGCATAGCTCAGAGAGCCTACCATTTTTTAGTTGAGAGCCTGTCTTACTCCCATGTTACTTGGGTGCAGGGGTCATTTCGTAGAAAAAGAGGCGCAGGAGCTCATTAGCATAACTCATTAGCTTAACTTATTTGCATATGCCACACCCCCTGACATCACCGGAAGTGTGTCAAAGGCAACCCCCACTGCTCAGGCTCCACCCCAAAAATCTTCCAGGAAAGTGTTTTGTTGTTTTAGGATTGCAGCTTTAGGATTGGTTTCTCAGTATTTCAGAGGGTAGCCGTGTCAGTCTGCAGTAGAACAGTTAGATTTTAGTCCAGTAGCACCTAGAGACCAACAAGAGTTTCAGGTAGGGTTGGCAGACCCAGGCTGGGAAACTCCTGGAGATTTGGGGATGGAATTTAGGGACTTCAGGGGGGTAAAATGCCAAAGTCCACCTTCCAAAGTACCAATTTCAAATTCCAAAGTACTATGGGGCCATAGAATACAGTTAGCAACTCCAGAGCAAAGGGGGTGGGGCTTGCCGCCACCACCATTTTCCCTGTTCCAGGGCTGCTGGAGCAGTGCTCCAGCCCTCTCCGGCCCCAAATGACCTCTGCTTGGGTGTAAAAGAACTGGGTTATGTGTATACTAGCTGTCATTTGAGCCAAACTGTGTATACTATGATGAGATATGCGTGTGCCTGTGTTTGGCAGAGAGGCAAAGCAGAGCTTGTCAGATTCTAGCTAAGATTTTAAAGTGGCAGACTGGTGGCAGTTAACCATTGAGAGTGTGTGGGCTATTGTGTCAGGGCAGGCAATAGCCAAAGAGTTTCATGGAGGTCCTCTGGTTTTGGCCTTCCCTTCCTTCAGAATCACAATGACATTTTTATAGTCAAATGCTAGAATTGGCTCTCAAACCCAGATGAAGTGATCCATGTAGAACTGATCACTGAGCTTTTAATGACTGCATTCACAAGGTGCAGATTTTGTAGCCAGAACAGCTTTATTGACCCTTTTGGATGGAAGAGGATGAATTCCTGTTGCTTCAAGATAAGACCCAAAATCATCTCTGTTTCCATCTGTCTCTCCCTTTCCCTTTCTAAAGGTGGTTATGATGCCTTCTAGCTTCCCAAAATAGCACAGACGTCATATTAGAGTAATATATTCCACATAGTACATAGCTCAGTTTTGGGGCCTTAAAAAAACTGTAAATCTCATTCTTCAGTTTGTCTTCTCTCTCTGTGCTTCTCCTCAGTTTTGCTGATTATGGCTGTATGTTGGAGATTCAGAAAGTAGATTTTCTCCCTGATGGACGGTCTTTTGTGAACACCACAGGCAAGCGGAGGTTCCGGGTTTTGAGACGGGGGCACAAGGATGGTTACAACACTGCTGATATCGAATACCTGGAAGATGAAAAGGTGAATCTTGCCTTATGGGCTGTCCATAGATGTAATGGCCATAGCAAATCAATATGATGATGAAAAGCCTCCCTGGCAGAAAATCAAACACTCTGCTAGTGATAACCCTTGAATTGTTTTGTATGGTGGTTGCAAGTGATGGGCCTTCATGTTATTGAGTCACTCCACAGTTGCAATAACAGGAACATTTTGTTGATTGCAATTTCTGTGAAGGAGAGATGCAAACTACAAGATGGGCTGTCAACAATCTGAAAGTTTATTTAGTTGATAGTCTTCCTTTTAATAGATGAGATTTAATTAGAGATGTAAAATCTCTGGAAAATTTTGAAGCCATGGGGGGAAACCCAATTTTTCTGTTGTTTTTTTCCAGAAAACAGACAAACAAAAATTTGAGGGAAGTACAATGCTTACTTTCCTGTCAAGCCTAACCTCTCTTTACTGTTTAAACCACATAAAATGCATCATTGATAACTTAGCATATAAAATTGTACTGTTTAATGTATTTATGCAATTTAGAAGCATGAATATCTGTCTCTATAAGAAAAAATTCAAGTATACCTAAAACTTAAGAGCCTTACAAACCATGGCACCCCATGCTACCATAGCACTGTTTCTTTAATTTTTGCCATCTGAGAGATAGGAAAAATAAACATTGAAGATAGAAAAGAAATTTTGTAATAAACAAAAAAACATGTATTGTTTGAGCAGAAACTCAGAGTCACAATAATAGGACTACCAGCATGTTTGGATAAAAACACTAATCCTTTTAATAATGTATCCTTAAACACATTGTGATATTTGTTATTGTTCAGTCGCACAGTCGAGTCTGACTCTTCGCGACCCCATGGACCACGTCACACCATGCCCTCCTGTCTTCTGCCATCCTCCAGAGTTTGTTTAATTTCACGTTCGTTGCATTGATAACACTTTCTAACCATCTCATCCTTTGCCATCCCCTCCTTCTTTTACCTTCAGTCTTTCCCAGCATTGGGGTCTTCTCCAGTGAATCATCCCTTCTCATTTGGTGGCCAAAGTATTTGAGCTTCATCTTCAGTATCTGTCCTTCCAGGAAACAGTCAGGGTTGATTTCTTTTAGGATTGACTGATATGATCTCCTTACAGTCCAAGGGACTCTCAAGAGTCTTCTCCAGCACCATAATTCGAATGTAGTTGAGCTTCATCTTCAGTATCTGTCCTTCCAGGGAACAGTCAGGGTTGATTTCTTTTAGGATTGACTGATATGATCTCCTTACAGTCCAAGGGACTCTCAAGAGTCTTCTCCAGCACCATAATTCGAAAGTATCTATTCTTCGGCGCTCGGCCTTCCTTATAGTCCCACTCTTGCAGCCATACATTACTACTGGGAATACCCTTGCTTTGACCATACAAACTTTTGTTGGCAGGGTGATGTCTCTACTTTTTATTATGCTGTCTAGGTTTGCCATCGCTTTCCTTCCTAGGAGCAGGCATCTTTTAATTTCATGGCTGCAGTCACTGTCTGCAGTGATCTTGGATCCCAGGAATGTGAAGTCTGTCACTGTTTCCATGATTTCCCCTTCTATTTGCCAAGGAGTGATGGGGCCAGATGCCATGATCTTAGTTCTTTTGATATTGAGTTTCAAGCCAACTTTTGCACTCTCCTCTTT